CCATATTTCAATAACGGATTTGGTAACAGTTAATCATATTTATTTATTGTAACCAAACTGTTCTCTCAGTGTAGGGTAATTAATTAGCCTAAAATTAGCTCTCCAATATGGATATATCAAATCAGTGAAAAATATATTATTTTAAAAAATGGCTCTGCTGAGTTCGCCCGAAGCCAGCAAAGCCACAGGTTTCTTTTAAAAAATATGTAGCAAAAAATTCCAAAATGTGATAGTTATCAAGCTTACAATCAATACGAACACTTTGCCTCATGAAATCGTCATAAAATATGCTTTTGATAGAAATACATAATGTACAGTGAATGACGCATATTTCGACAAATTGTCTTGTATTTTTTCTGTTTGAAACGTTGTGCAAAAAATACGAAAATAGAGTGATTAATTAGCCTAAAATTAGCCCTTTAATCTCAATATATCAAATCGGTGTAAAATCTATGTTTTCAAAAATGGCTCTGCTGAGTTCGGCCGAAGCTAGCAAAGCCACAGATTTTTCTATGATAGAGAGGAGCAAGAAAATTGGGAATAGGGTAATAAATTAGCCTAAAATGAGCACTACATTCTCACTATATCAGATATTAAAAAAATATTGTTTTTCAAAAATGGCTTTGCTGAGTTCGGCCGAAGCTAGCAAAGCCACAGATTTTTCTATGATAGGGAGGAGCAAAAAATTCGGGAATGGGGTAATAAATTAGCCTAAAATGAGCCTAAAATTATGAGATGTGTCTCATGTTGAAATTCGAAAGTGGCTTTGCTAGCTTCATTGGTATCACATTCATTCATGTTTCTAGCTATCATTGGACTTGAGCAATCGAACTCTGACTCACCGTTGCCGCACCCTGTAAAAATATATTTTTCAAGTTTATTCACCATTCTCATTCAAGTTCTAAGGGAAAATTCCAATTCTCAGCATCACATAATTCGTTAGATGATTCCAATCTGAATCAATGAATACATCACCCTGATAAAGCAGAAAATGAAACCATCAATATTTAGAGCATCAAATAATATTGACGCATGATGGTTTCCATTAATTTTCGATTCATCATTTCTCAGTGTTAATTAATACAGGCTTCATCGCGCTTCAATATCGAACTGCCCTTTTGAATAATACATCAGACGTGATAGACAATGAGATTCGTAATAGTAGGAATACCGAGTGGCCAAAAAACCATGCAACCTCTCCCTTGAAACTATTTAGTGGTTCTGGATGTTTTTAAAAAAAATGTTCTTATTCATCATTCGGTTGCCCCCTTACGAGCAAGCCTCGAAAGTCTTCAAGAGACTTGTGCGACCAAGAAATGACGAGGTTCTCACCTTTCAACGTGTGATCCCTAACACTTTTTCAGGCCATCAGAAACTTTTCTGCGGTCGTGGTGGGAATCGAACCCACCAACCGGCAATCCAACGTGGATAGAATACTCACGCTTCAACCACGAGGCTACGATGCCCACATTATATCCCTTGATACTTGAATCAAGAGAAGAGTAGATGATCACTTGTGGTTCGAGTTTTCAACAGCTTTGCGCATGACGTCACTCTGTGGAAATTATTCGTGGCGGCATTCAGTGAAATATTTTTTGACTGTTATGATTGGACTATGACTAACATATTATCCTTGGACTAGAGATTTTAGAAGTATATTAGTGATAAATGAGACATTATAGAATGAGATAATTTATTACACGTTTCATCTCATTGGATTTCGTTGAAAAGTTACACTGTTACCAATTTTGACTGTGAATATTTGTTTTTTCATGTACTTTTCATTCAATAGATCAATGGAAGCACATCTGATGTCAATTCTCACACAATTTGAATCAACAAGTGATTATATTTATGTAAAATATGATTATCTCTAGGGGGAAACACAATTCAATAAGTATGAACCATAAATATTTTCATTACATTTATTTCGTCATGTTTCGCTTCCGAATAATTTTTTCATGTTTTCATCAAGGTTTCTCATTTTTAGACACTTACACTTGTAGTATATGTACTTCTTCAGTATTTGTGTATATAGCAACTGGCCATCGACCTTACTAGAGGTCTTTCACTCTATGTGTGTCCTGTGAAGGCATTGTTACTAACTCCATACGCCACCTTGGGATCAGCAACAGCGAATCTTGCGATGTTATGATTAACTCACAGACAGTTTGTGTTTACTAGTGTTTTCTCGTCGGAAATTGAGAGATTATTTTTCTCTATTGTGGGGACCTCGGGGCTGTAGACCTGGATACCTTTCCCTTAATTCGGCACTGTGAACACACTGAATAGAACCCACCTCTAAAGCGCGCCAGTCAAAATTTGTCACCGGATTAAGTATGCGGGGCAAGAGAGACAGAAAACAATCGAACGCGTGAGCTAATTTTCCTTGGTTTTAGTATCATGACTCATGAGCACTCATATAAGTATATCCTGATGTATATTTCCAAATTTTGTTTGACTTCGTATTATTCATCATATCATCATCGTATCATATACAAACAGCCATTTTGTTCACAAGAAAACAAAAGTTCATCATCAGCTCTCTCGAAAATATTGGAATTCCTCCAGAATGGAACAAGAACACTGAATAACTCTCGACCTCATCTCTTTTTTCCCCCCTGTTATTAAACCTTGATTGAATCCCGATAGATTCACTTCCATACTTCCATCAATAACTCACCGTGTGATCGTGAAAAATCTGTTCATTAAGCAATTCGGCAACAGTGGGCGGCATTTTATTTTGATTGATCGATGTGTAGAGAATCGCTACACCGCGCTATCCAATCTGGTAATGATTGACTCCATTCTCTTGTGCAGTATGTTCGCTAATGGACCTCATATTGGGCGAAATGAGTGGAAAACTGTTTTCCACGTCGGAATACGACTTTTAGATTACGTTTTCCTCATAAGATTGAATCAGAAATCACTTGATTCATCATTGCACTTTCTACATTATTCCATTCATTGATATTTTACTTATCATCATTGGAACAGGTAATTTCATTTCAGTTCCTCATCAGAAATATAAAAATTTTAACTAGATCTTGAAGTCAGGATTTATAGATTATTCATTAATTTCATGGGCTGTCATTTTTTTGAATACTATATCTCAACAAGAATATATTTCTTGTCGTGGTGGTTGGAATCCTTTTTGGACATCATATGGGTCTAATCCTCCTTTTAATGACCGATGTCACCGATGACACTTAAGCCTAATTGCCCCTTGTATCTTACCCACATGCTGGTATCAATTTCACCATATACGACTCATGGTGCTTATTATTAAGGGCCATTTCAATATGAAAGACCCTTTTCGTTCAAGTTTCTGAAGATTACTCTTCCGATCCCTGTTCTCGTCTTCGAGAAGTCTGAAAGTTTTCCATCTGCGAATGACGGTGAAAATGGTTGGTCTAGTCCTGTGATAACCCCTGCGCAGGAAAAAGGCTGTTTACTCTGAGATATCACCCTGCTTCCCAGAGCCTTCGTTAGCGACGCCATACCTTGGTGCCATCCATCCATCGCCACTGGTTCCTACAGCTTGGATCAGGTTGCCAGAGCCTCGTTACCCAGTCCTTGGCCACTTAGACAGATATCAGCAAATCGCCATATCCTAGCCACAGATGTTCAGGAATACTTGACATGTAGTGTCAAAATTCAAAGCATTTTTGTCAGCAACGCGCAAGGGTACATGTACTACTTCTTAATGGAATCTGGAACATCATAGGCAGGTTTACACCATACAAACTTTGTACGACTTATTTATGCACAGAACTGTATTTCTCTCCTGGTTTAGTAGATATTCTGTGATTTTTCACGAAGATTTTTTTGGCGAGTTATTCTACAATTTCTGAGATTCCATCCGCGCCCGTGTGCTAGTGCTGTTTCATATCTCTTGGAGTGCACGAAAGGAAATTTCTATAATGTTCGAAGAACATCGTGCGAACCTAGGGAGGATAGGGAAAGGATGTAGGTGTTGATTTTTTTGAACTTTTGGAGGTTATAAGTTCTTGGAAATTCTTCCATTGGTGAAGTACTTATCAGACAAATTTTGAGTTGACTGCATCGAATGGTCTGAATTGTCTATATTTCTGTATATAGGGCACTCAAAGTTCAATTCATATATAAAAAGTAATATAAGCCGCGCTGTAATTATGTCATTATAACAGCGAGGAAAGTTAGGCTAAACTTTTCCAACGAAGAAACGGAAGCTGATATTTGAAAGCAAAATGTGGACAAATCTTTGATGGGGTTCATGTGAAATTTTATCGAACTTGCGTTGTCAGAAAAGTATATAATATGTGGAAATGTTGCAATTTGGGAACTTTTCGAGTAGAGGAATTCAAGGAAACCATTAACAATAATGTGATTCTCACCGAATAACAAGCAAGTTTTTTTTGGGTCGGAGTAAACTTCAAATTAATAATCACAGTTTTTTCGCATTGAAAAAATTCTACTCGCAAAACTGGCAAAAAATATATTCGCCCTACAAATTCGTAATTTTCTCGAATTTCCAAGCAACAGAATTCTCAGTAGTGATACTCTAAGAATTCCAAAATATCCGGGTTATACATCGATAACTTGTGGCATAATTACAAAGAGTGACAGAAAAAATGAAATCAAATGTAAAGAAATATTGATTTGAATAGATTTTTACCTACTTTCGTGGTTTTTCGAACAATTTTTGAATTTTGTAAGGCCGCATAAATGTCGACAGTGCCAATACACAGTATAACATGTTCGTTGTCTTATATCAATAATTCTCAATAATCAGTCTATTATAATATCCTACGAAGTTGAATGGATAACCACCTATCGCACTGAAATACGGACACTCGTAAGGTACCTATCCGAATAATACACGCCCACTTGCAATCCTTTTATACGTACCTACTCGTTCGACCGCGCCACCACCACTGGGCCCACCCGCTCACCGCGAACGACTGCACCGTTTCCCACTCTCGACCCGCTCGCTCGACCACGCCCCTTCCCTGCCACAGGTACTCGCCCTTCTCGCGCGATTCGTCCGTCGACGTCGGCAACGACAGCCGCCCCTCCCTCACCAGCCTCTCCTCCTACTCCACATCTTCGCGCCGCCATGAGATCGTTGGGCAGCGCTCGGTGGACTCGCGCGCGAGCATCTCGAGTCTGTGGTCGTCGGACGCGTCTCGGCGTGGCTCCGAGGCGATCATTCCCGAGCACGAGGTGGACTCGACGAGCGACTCGCGGGGCTCGTTCGCCAGCGACGGGAGGAGGTATTCGGAGGCCAAGCGGAGGAGGTCGTCGACCGCGCGGTCAGCGCAGGTGAGGAGGAGCGTGCGGAGGTTGCCGTTGAGCTACGACCGCAGGAGGACTACGGGCAGGTTGGTAGCAGGAATGCCAGAGTTGGTGATTGACGAGGCATCAGCCGTATTGAGATGATCATCTATCTATACATATTATTGATTATACAGGGTGTTCCGTTGGGAGACGGAAATACTTCAACGGTGGATAGAGGTGACCAAGGTGGTTCTGAATATACCATATATGTTGGGTCTTACATGTTTCATTATCGAGATATAGAGTGTTTTATCAATTCTGGTAATTTCTTTGAACGCTCATAGCATACGAACCACCTGGTATATTTTTTTGATATCTGGTAGACATGTTTTCCTACTGCTACCCAAGCGACTTGTATATCCGTCTTAAAAAAATTCCAGGCCCGGATTAACAAAAATTCAACATATTATTGGGTCCTCGAAAAAACACCCTGTATGTTTGAATTTACAAAATCCGCTTACATATCTGAAGAGAGCACAAAATGTTGAATGGATTTGTGTACTTTTTATGTTTCCGCATGCTATTTTACTACTGAATTTCTGAAGCTGCAATGAAGGATTTGTGAATTTCAATAGCTAAAAACGGAATATTTTCCGTTTTTCATATCGAATTATGAAAATTTTGCAATTTTACAACTCATTCTATTCCATTTCATAGTCGTTGTCTGCATTTTTATGCCTGTGGAACGGGCCAGTGTATATTCACAGGTCCTTACTTCATTCATGTACCTATTTATTTGTTTGAGACATATTTCCATGCACCCTGTATGTGGATTCACATATTTCAATATTTCTATTGTTTTGATGTTATAATTTCACTTACTTATTACATTCTTTATGTATTTGCGAATGTCATTGTCTGTACCTATGTGGTACCGTTCACTAGAGTCCCTGTATATACCTTAGACAAGAGTCCGGACACAGCTATACTTCTGTCCTTTTCTGTTTTCAAAAAATGCATTGATGATTGAATAAAGGAATAAGACATATATATCGAGCTCTGTCTTTTCAATAGGTCGCGTGCACGAAGACCGACCCTGGAGGCAAAATATTGAAACACAACCTCATTCTTCTGTGAATTATTGAAACACAACCTCATTCTTCTGTGAATTATTGAAACACAACCTCACTTTTTTATTTGGTTACAGAGGAATCAAAAGGTTGAAGTAGTTTTTCACAATATTTTGGCATACGAATCGTGTTTCTTGCGTTATTCATTAATTCAAGCATGCCTTCGCATTGTGCTGTTGTACGATGCACAAAAAATGCAGCAAGAGACTAATAGGAATATATGATTTTTCAGGTAAATAGTAATCTCACATAGTTAGCATTATGAAATGTTGTCATTCCTTATTAAAATTCCTTCTGCCTTCTGCCACTTCTGCAATACAAGCTTATGCTGCTAATAGATTGAAAATGTCTACAACACACACGATCGTCAGCATTTCAGACCAGTCCTACCGATTGATTGCATGAATCCAATCTTCTTGCATTATTCTAGAAATTTCAGGTATATTTCTATTAGCTGATCCTATTGCAGAAGGAATTCCGATGAGAAATCAGAGAAATAATCAAATTTCAAAAATGAAAACTATGTGAGTGACTATAGTATAGGTACTTACTTTTGAATCATAATGTGCCATCCGGATTTCTTCATCTTCCGCTGCAGTTTTTGTGCATTTTACAACAGCACAATGTGATGGCATTAGCGAATTGATGAATAGCGGAAAAATACCATTCATATGCCAAAATGATTGTGGAAAACTATTTCAATCACTTGTAAACAAATATGTTTTGCCTCCAGGGTCGGTCATCTGACAGTTCTTGCACGCGACCTATAGTATCAATGATTGTCAGAAACAATTTTGAGGGTTAGATTATTTGTCAAACCGTTCATAGCCGTAGGTAGAAGTGAGAAATAGGGCTATTTTAACTAGAATAACTATTAGATTTTCAAATAATGAACAACAGGGTGTTCAAATTTCGAATCGATAATTTTCGTAATCAATTCCTGAGATGGCTATTGCAAATTTTCGTCATCAGATATTTCTTTCCTTCATTAGATATAAAAAAGATAATTTAAGTGTTCTACGTGGTATCACATATAGCCAAGAAAATATAGTTGTTTTCTGTTGGGATATAAAAAAATAGAAGATATATAATTGTTTCAATATAATTTTAATTGTGTCGGTTTCCCACCTCTTCCTGCAGTCTACATTCACCAATAAATTCTTTAATTTGATCTGAATTAAAAACACCTTGGACTGATGACATAGCACATTGCAATTTCCCTAAATCTTCTAGTTTTGATTTCAAACTTTCAATTTCTCTCCGCATCATCTCATTTTCTTTCTCTGCGATCGTATTTATCCAGTAATTCCCAATACGATGACGACGGAACTCTTTTTCTGAAGAGATTGACGGCACAGCATCAGACTCTATCAATTTGATATCCATCAGCTTGAAAGAATCTCTATCAAAATAGGCCTAAAATTCATCTTTTTTGTACTGTTTTCACAAGTAAATTCGAATGTTTACCTCACATATTGCGGATTTCTTGAAATTAATTTTCCATTCTGGACGTTTCATTGCATTCTTCCATGACATTATCTTTAAAGGATCATTCGGAAAATTGAATAACTCGAATCCCTTTTCTAATGAATTATCCCAATAATGTACGCAGCAGGACATTGAAATAATTTAAAATGCAAAATTTTGGCGGTCATAAAATTTCAAAGTGACAGTGACAGAAATTCGAAATAATTGAAAAAAGCGGGCGGAACGACTATGGTGTTTCGTCATATTGTCAGGTGGGCAAACCAAATGGAACAAAATATTAAAAACCCCAACGGCTGTCAGTTTTGTGTCCGGACTCTTGTCTAAGGTATATACAGGGACTCTACCGTTCACTTTCATCTCTTCATCATTCAAATCTAGGTAGCTTTGATAATGACAGAACATTTGTCAAACGATTAACAGCATTCGCGAATTTCTCTTCATTGTTGTTATTTACTGATTTATTTATTCACCTAATTTTGAAAGAATGCCTCGTAAATTTTCCAATGAAGAATATGCTGATATGACGTATATTTATGGTTTTTGTGATGGAAATGGACTGGCTGCAAGACGAGAGTATCAAAGGAGGTTTCCTGATAGAAGAACACCCAATAACAAAACATTCGGACAAGTTTTCAACTACATGCGAATACATGGAAGGTTTCCTACAGTACAATTGAATGAACACCACGAAAGAAGGCATGTTGATATGAAACGCAATATTTTGAATATGATTGAGAACAATCCAGAAATAAGCACTAGAAGGATAAGTAATGCTCTGGATATACCGAATACTACTGTTCATCGACGGTTGAAAAAAAATCACTTGTATCCATTTCACAAACAAGAAGTACAGAGGTTGGAGGTTGGTGATGAAAATTCTAGACTCAATTTCTGTAGATGGATAATACGGAATGAGAGAATATTGAATAGATGCCTTTTCACGGATGAAGCTCAATTCACACGAGACGGTGTATACAATTCAAGAAATTGTCATGTCTGGGCAGAAGAAAATCCTTTTGCTATTCGTCAGTCCCATTCACAGCATAAATTTTCAGTTAATGTTTGGTGCGTAATGTTTCATAATAAATTAATTGGCCCTCATATTTTACCTGCAAGACTAACTGGCGAAGTATACTTGGACTTCTAAGAAAATATGTTGCCAGTTTTACTAGACGTTGGAAATATCGATGTTGCAGGAATGTACTTCCAGCACGACGGTGCTTCGCCGCATTATAGGCTAATAGTTAGAAACTTTTTAAATCAAAATTTTCCTAATACATGGATTGGACGAGGTGGCCCTCATAACTGGCCCTCGAGATCACCCGATTTAAATCCCGTGGATTATCACCTGTGGGGTTATCTTAAATCCAAAGTGTATTCTTCAGAAATTAATACCAGAGAGGAGCTTATCCAGAGAATAGAAGAAACATGCCAAGAAATGGAAAACAACCAGGAAGTTATTCGAAAATCGGTTAGGAATATTCTGAAAAGAGCAAGGAAATGTATAGATCAAAATGGAGGCCACTTCGAGAATTTGTTATGATTTTCATGTTTCAAGTTGACTGTGTATATTTTTGGGTTCATCGTTGTAATATTTGAGGAAATAAAGTTGTTTCAACTGTGTTATTATTATGTCGATTGTTTTGTTGAACTCTTTCCACAAATACATAAAGAATGTTCTGCAGCGAATTTTTCAGGACATACAGATCGTTATTCGAAATTATAACATCAAAACAATAGAAATATTGAAATATGTGAATCCACATACAGGGTGCATGGAAATATGTCTCAAACAAATAAATAGGTACATGAATGAAGTAAGGACCTGTGAATATACACTGGCCCGTTCCACAGGCATAAAAATGCAGACAACGACTATGAAATGGAATAAAATGAGTTGTAAAATTGCAAAATTTTCATAATTCGATATGAAAAACGGAAAATATTCCGTTTTTAGCTATTGAAATTCACAAATCCTTCATTGCAGCTTCAGAAATTCAGTAGTAAAATAGCATTCGGAAACATAAAAAGTACACAAATCCATTCAACATTTTGTGCTCTCTTCAGATATGTAAGCGGATTTTGTAAATTCAAACATACAGGGTGTTTTTTCGAGGACCCAATAATATGTTGAATTTTTGTTAATCCGGGCCTGGAATTTTTTTAAGACGGATATACAAGTCGCTTGGGTAGCAGTAGGAAAACATGTCTACCAAATATCAAAAAAATATACCAGGTGGTTCGTATGCTATGAGCGTTCAAAGAAATTACCAGAATTGATAAAACACCCTATATCTCGATAATGAAACATGTAAGACCCAACATATATGGTATATTCAGAACCACCTTGGTCACCTCTATCCACCGTTGAAGTATTTCCGTTTCCAAACGGAACACCCTGTATATATACACACACTGGCACAATTAGGGGAACGGGTAAAATTTACACTAAGTTTGACAACAATTTTCTCTCGAACCGATCACTCGATTCAAATTTGTTTTTCACGAATT